ATTTATCTTTCGAAAATATAACCTGTATTACCTACCTGGTTTGGTTTGATTTTTGTTGTGTGTGTGTGTTTGCTTTGTTGTTGTTGTTAATTCTCACCCGAGGATATATTTTTTTTCATTGCTTTTCTGAGAGAATGGAAAGGAAGGAGGGAAGAAGCGGGAAAGACAGAGGAGAGAGAGAGAAACATTGATCTTCTGAAAGAGACACATCAACTGGTTGCCTCCCGCATGCAGCTGACCAGGACTCAAACCCGAGACCCTTCAGTGCGAGGGCCAAACCGCTGAACCACACCAGCCAGGGCACCTGTTTATAAAAATAAATAAAATTGGTAATACGCAAATGTTTTCTATTCGAAGTCTAACGTATACATTGAAAAGACTAAATCTTTTTATTTTTTATTTAATCCTCACCCGAGGATATGTTTATTGATTTTGGAGAGAGGGGAAGGGAAACAGAGCGAGAGAAACATCAGTGTGAGAGAGAAACACTGATCAGTTGCCTCCCCTAGGCACCTAACCAGGGATCGAGCCTGAAACCTAGGTACCTGCCCTGACCAGGAATCAAACCCACCATCTTTTGGCGTACAGGACAGCGCTCCAACCAACTGAGCCACACTGGTCTGAGCACTAACTCTATTTTGACTAGATTTTCTTTTTGGTGGATATGTTCCCAAAAGCTCCGTGTACTCTGTCTCCTGACTGATTTTATTACTGCAGTTGTTGGGAGTTAAGTGGGATAATATTTGGGAAGGTGTTTGGTAAACTGTGATATACAGTACAAATGTAAGATGGTAGTGGTACTAATTAGAAGTAAACTGAAGCAAGATGAAGAAATTGTTCATCTGTCCATTCTGAGGCCCCTTCATGCTGGAAACTTCGGAACTTGCCAGGTGGCTTTTTTATTCTCTACTGTACAGAACATGCGTTAGGTCCACTCGCGTTATATGACTGTGATCATTGCGGCAGCTCACTCCGTGGATACGAATAAATGTTACATGGTTCAAAAAGTATGTAGCCAGTGTTCTAGTACAGGTCCGTTCGAAACCAAGGACTCTTCATTCTCTTCGGCTGTCATAAAACAAGCAAAAGACTTTATCAGTGGCCTATAGCTATGAAATGGTTACAAGTAGTAGTGATCTGCTAGAGGACGACACTCTCAGGGCGGTAACTCTCTGCTTTGCACTTGCTCTGAGCTGTGGAAGAAACAGGAACTGTGTAACTCATGATACTGGACCTCAGGGATCTTGGATCCAGTAGAGAGATTAAAAGACAGAACAGAAACAGTAGTAAACAAGATCAGACCAATATGACTTAAATGCCCCAAATCTAAATGTTTTAGGAGAGGAGTGTTAACGGGGTTTATTATTTCACCTTTATGGTAGAAGTGGATCTTGGGTTGGGACTTGGAAGGATAATTAGGATTTCAGTGCCTAAAGGATAGTTACAATGTGAGCCAAGAAGTGGAATGACTATGTTATGTTTATGATACAATAAGGATCAGATCTAAACTAAGGGATTATTTTAGAGTAGTTGAAAATAATGTTGGAAAACTGTCAAGTGAAAAAAATGGAATGCAGGAAGGTAGCTGATCAATGATTCTTTCTCATCGTCGGTGTTTCTATCTTTCTCTCCCTCCCCCTCTCTGAAATCAATAAAAAAAATATATTTTTAAAAAAAGACATACCATGTAGTAAATATTTTAGTATTAAATATTTTTTATTTTAAATATTTTATTTAAATATTAAGTGCTATTAAATATTTAAAAATATTAAAGAGTATTCAACTGTGTCTATAATGTTTTATTTCTTAAATAAACACAAAGAGCCCAGCTGGCATGGCTCAGTGGTTGAGCCTCGACCTATGAACCAGGAGGTTATGGTTCGGTTCCCAGGTCCGGAGCATATGATGGGGCTCCATCCCCAGTATGGGGTGTACAGGAGGCGACGGATCAGTGATTCTCTCTCATCATTGATGTTTCCATCTCTCTCTCCCTTCCTCTCTGAAATCAATAAAAAAATTTTTTTAATAAATAAAGAAAAAGAAGTCAGTCAAAATGTAAATTTTTCTGAATCTGAATGGTAGGGATGGGTGTTTATATTTTTCTCTATGTTATGTCTATTTGTAAGGGAAGCAATTAAATAGTTTTAGAAATGATGAGATTTGAAGGACAAAGTCTTAAGGAGAAAACATTAGTAAGCAGGAAGTTCTGGTTTTCTGAATGTATTTTTAATTTGTTTTCTGGTTTTTAAAACTTTTTATCAAAGTCGCATATCCACCGTTGAAAGGGGTAGTGTGGCTTTAGTGACTCTGCCTTACCCTCTAGCCAAAAGCTAGAGTCTGAAATGATTGCTGGGAATGCTGCTGAGGGTCCTGGCCTCCCACGTGGTCCTACTCACTCCTCCGCCCCTTAGAATCTCCTCCTTCTTTCTCCCTGTCAGTTTCGCCTAGCGTTTCAGAACTGCTCAGAGTTTTCTCATAAGAAGGCTAAGCAATACAGTCACTCTCAGTTTACATTCAAGTCATAATGAAAACAATAAAGGTATTTAAAACGATTTTCAAGATAGGCTATTTTCCAGAGCAGACGCCACTGTTCTACTCTGGTTCCTAGCAAAACATAGGCTCCATGGGAATTGGTGCTCCAGCCAAATCGGCTGTGGTTATGGCCCAGCTCCATGAGCAGAGGCAAACTGGAGAGCTGGAACGGACGTCAGGACCCAGGATCAGTCAGACTCTCATTTTCTCCGGTGAAAGGCTGCCCCTGGGTCCCGTTACCAGATTAGCTTCACCTCCGATCCTTTGGAGACTTTAAGTGGGGCCAGTAGGTTATTCTAGTGCCCATTTTCTTTCTCGTTCTCATGGCTTTGGAATGGATCTGGTGGGCCTTCAGTGGCTATGACTGAGGTCTGCTTTCTATTTAAATGTACTTAAAATTGCCCTGGCCTGTGTTTCTCAGTGGTTAGAGATTCAGCCTGTGCACTGAAGGGTCTCGGGTTCGATTTCTGGTCAAGGGCATGTGCTTAGGTTGCAGGTTTGATCCCCAGCCGCAGTTGGGGTGCATGTGGGAGGCAACCAATCTCTCTCTTTCTTCCTTTCTCCCTCTTTTTCTCTTTTCCTCCCTCTTTCTCCCCCCTCCATCCCTCCCTTCCAGTCTCTGAAAATCAATGAAAAAAATATCCTCTAGTCAGGATTATTTAATAAATAAATATACTTAAAACTTACTTTAAAAAAAAATCCTGCCCTAGACTGTTTGGCTCAGTGGACAAAGCGTCGACCTTGGGACCAAAGGGTCCTGGTTTCGATTCTGGTCAAGGGCACGTACCTTGGTTGCAGGCTCCTCCCTGGGCCCGGCCCTGGTCAGGGCTCGTGCAGGAGGCAAACCAATCTTTGTGTTTCTCTCACATGGATGTTTCTCTCTGTCTTTCCCTCTCTTCCACTCTCTCTAAAAATCAATGGAAAAATATCCTCAGGTGAGAATTAACAAAAATAAAAAAAATCCTCACCCAAGGATATTTTCCATTGATTTTTTTTTTTTTTTTTAGAGAGAGGAAGGGAGAAGGAGAGAGAAACATCAGTATGAGAGAGAAACATTGATCAGATGCCTCCCATACACACCCAGACCAGGGATCAAACCCGAAACCTAGGTATGTGCCCTGAGAAGGAATGACACAGGAACCTTTCGGTGTATGGGACGACACTCCTCCGAACTAAGCCACCCGGCCAACGCTTAAAACTTACATTTTTAAATAGCAGTGCTGTATTTACCGTTTGTATATGTACTCTCCAGAGAGAATTTAAGGAACATATTCTTATTTGACACAGCCTCTTTAGAGTTGAAACATTTTTAATGCATTGTAGAAATCTAACTTGATTATGTCTCCTCTTTGGGTAAAGTGTTTTTCTTTAGTTTTAAATCTGTAGTGTAGTCTCGGGGATCTTGATATCATAAAAAATCTGTCATGACCTAATAATAACATATTCTTAACTATATTGTTTTTCTTTTAAATGTGTTTTTATTGATTTCAAAGAGGAAGGGAGAGGGAGAGATACAGAAACATTAATGATGAGAATCATTGATCGGCCCTCCCACACACCCGCTCCTGGGGATGGAGCACGCAACCCAGGCATGTGCTCTGACCAGGAATCGAACCTTGACCTCCTGGTTCATAGGTCAACGCTCAACCACTGAGCCATGCTGGCCAGGCTTAACTATATTGTTTTAAGCACATATAAATAGAAGTTGTAATTTAGTTTTTCCCTAATATGAACTTTCTAAAAGCATAGCATGAATTGAAACTAACTTATATAGGTTTATTAAAGCATTGCACTCCAGGATTTTTTAAAGCTTACTTAATATTAAAACATCAAAAAGTCATTGATTTCTTTTTTCTTTCTATAATCAGTTTGATTGTGTGTGTGTTGTTGTTGTTTTAGGTAAATAACCAGACATTCCAGATTAGATAAAACAGACTTCATTTTCCCTAACTTGAATTTTGATAACTGACAACTTAAATTTTGCAATAGGCAGTCAGTTCATTACTATTGTCTGTGTTTGACTTCACATATCTCATTTGTGTGCTATTACTCTATCTAAGAAAGAGATGGATGTGAATATAGATATTTGTTTATATTAGGGGGGGAAAATAAGGTTACCCATAAGCCCGGAAAGAGAGGACAAGGTGGGAGGGGCAAGGATGGAAGCTGGATTTCTCTGGAACAATATATGGAACCATATAAATATTTTACACACTTAAGAAACACATTAACTGAATTGACTATCAAGTAGATAGCAATATCACACAGGAATTGTTTCAAGTAACTTAAAACATAATAATTTTACTGTGTATCCTAGTGAGAGCTTTGAGTTTGGTCACTTGTTCTTAAGACCCTTTCAGTGTTACTTTGGGACACATAATAACTTATGTGGAGAATATGAGTGCATGCAATTTAAAATGCTATGAATTAATTTATTTAAAATGCTAAACTCATAACTTTAACTTTTGTTTCCTTTTATCTTTACAGTAAGGCAGAAGAGAATGAAAGAAGTAGATAATCTTGAAAGTATAAAAGAATGGTAAGTTAATTCGATCTGTGAAGTTTCTTTGTTAGTAATGCCTTTGTTAGTGTCTTTTTCTATTTTTACTGCATTTCACTGACTGTGATTCTAAGTGTTCATTATGATTACCTCAGTTAAATACCTAATAGTAGTATATTTTAAAGTAACTTTTTTTTTAATGGATTTTAGTGAAGTCACTAGATCTTCTTGTTGCTAATTTAAAAAAAAATTGTTAGGACAATTTATGTGACTATTGCCAACAAGTATTTTTAAGAATTTAAGTGAAATAAGCACATTCTTCTTTGGTAGAAAAATAAAAGTTAAAATGTTCTCGTTGCATATTACTTCTGTCATATCAGTGAGAAATGCCAGTAACTTTGCTTCGTTAGCCTCCTGTGATAGAGTCACAGTGGAAACATAAGGGCTTTGGAGTCAGATAAACCTAGGTTTGAATCCATCTCTTTCTGATACTACTTCTCTGGCCTGTGGGCAATGTAGGTAGATTATTTGAGCTTCAATATCTCATTTATATAGTCCATGGACAGAGACAGTAGTGTGGTGAAGGCCTGGGGTGGGGTAGGGGCTGGATGGAGGAAAGCAGAGTGGGGAGGAATGGGGGACATCTGTAATACTGTCAACAATAACAAATAAATTTTTACAAAAATATATGAACTGGGGCTATACCTAGGTACCTGAAAGATTTTGGGGAGAATTAGATAGCTTATATAAAGCACTGAGCATAGTATTAGCATATCGAAGGCATGCAGTAAATGGTAAATGCACAATGTATGGCTGTTAATATAGAATACTTTATTCTCATTTACGGAGGTGAAATATATCTTGTATTATGCTCTTTGTTTTAAATCCTTGAGGCACATTTGTTTCATCCGTAGTTCATTTGAGACAGACAAGTATTTATTTCACACTTACAAATATTTTGAAAATGCTTCTGTACCAAACAAACATTTGTTTTTTTTTTACTAGAGTGTTTACAGTTTTATTTATATTTGATACTAACTATATAATTTTCAGATTGTGTCAGGGGTCTCTAAGACCACCTCCAGGTTTGTGATCGTACTATGATTTATTACAGTGGACGGGTAAAAAGCAAAATCAGCAAAGGGGAGAGAGCGCATGGGGCAAAGTCCAGGGGAAACCAGGCACAGGCTTCCAAGAGTCCTCGCCTGTGGGGTCACCTGGGACGTACTTAATTCTCCCCGTGATAAGTTATGACAGCCCATGTGAAATGATACCTACCAAGAAAGGTCATTGGAAATGAGCCTCGGCTTTTTATTGGGGGCTCGTCACCTCTCACATTTCAGACTCTCCAGCGGAAAGCAAGCAGGCCTTTCGAAGGATAGCAGTCAGGCCCACTGTGTTAACTCTTCTATACAGACATACAATGATTGAACGATTTAAAAGAGTTAAGATTAGCTTGGGACTTTTTTTTTAACACTTTATTGAGACCTAATTCACATACCATATGATTTATGCATTTAAAGTATTCAATTCAGTGATTTTTACTACATTCACAATATTTACTGCATTAGTATTGTGAGAAATCATCTTAGGGTGTGATTATTTTTTAATAAGAAGTATCATATTGTTGCCTTGGAAAAGGCATAATTAACACTTTATGATAATATGAAGTCAGTCTTTTTTTTTTAATTTTTTACAGAGAGGAAGGGAGAGGGATAGAGAGTTAGAAACATCAATGAAAGAAACACTGATCAGCTGCCTCCTGCACACCCCCTACTGGGGATGTGCCCGCAACCAAGGTACATGCCCCTGACTGGAATAGAACCTGGGACCCTTGAATCCGCAGGCTGACGCTCTATCCACTGAGCCAAACCAGCTAGGGCTGAAGTCAGTCTTAAGAGTAGATACAGAGCCCTAGATGGTTTGGCTCGGTGGATAGAGCGTCAGCCTGCGGACTGAAAGGTCCCAGGTTCGATTCTAGTCAAGGGCACATGCCCAGGTTGCAGGCTTGATCCTCAATAGGGGGCATCCAGGAGACAGTCAATCCATGATTCTCTCTCATCATTGATGTTTCTATCTCTCCCTCTCCCTTTTTCTCTGAAATCAATAGAAATATATTTAAGAGAGAGGGGGAGGCTTTATAGCATATCATGGTTAGTAGCATAGACTTGGAAGACATTAACATTCTGTTTCTGCCACTTACTAGTTGTGTAACCTCCGACATATAAGTTAAGCTCTCTCTGACTCATTTTTCTTATCTATAAAGTGGGATAAAGGTATCTATAGTTCCTGGCACAGTCTAAGAGCTATAAAAAGTGTTGATTACTTACTGAATCTGAGGAGATATATCTCAGAACATTTATGAATCTAATATATGAATTCTAAAAAGATCTGCCAGGAATATATTTTCTATCAAATGAACCTTTGGTAATATTTCCTATATAATATAAATATAGAATGAAATCCAGTATATGGAAGTGAGCAAAATGGGTGAAGGGGTTCAAAAGGTACATATTTCCAGGTATAAAATAAAGAAGTCCTAGGGGTGTAATGTACTATAGTGACTATAGGTACTAATTAGTGACGATAGTTACTAATACTGTATTGCATATTTGAAAGCTGGCAAGTTAATGCCCTGCCTGGGTAGGTCAGTCGGTTAGAGCATCATCCTGGTGAAATTTATCCCCCACCTCCCACCCAACAGATGTTTTTGGTTGTCATAACACTTCGGCGGTGGGAAAGTATGCATGCTACTGACATCTAAAGGGTCAGTGCCCCAGATGATGTTAAACATCCTAGAATACTTAGGACAGCCTGCACAGCAAAGAATTATCTCTCCCCAAATGTCAATAGATCAACTTGAGAAAACCCTGCTCTGGGCCCAAAGGGTTAATGACTTCCCAAGGTCACATGTCTGGTAACTGAGAAGAGGGTCTAGACTGGGGAGTTGGAAGTGGCATCTCAGGTCAGGATCCCTTAACTAGAATAATGTATGTGAATTTTTAGAGAACTGGCAGTTAATAATGCTCACTTTTCTTTGTTGTATTTACAGGGTTTGTGAAGCAGGATCTGACAACCAACCTCTTAGTGATAATCGACAATCAACTTGTGAGTATTTTGTCGACAGTCTTTTTGAGGAAGCCCAGAAGGTTGGTGCCAGATGCTTGTCTCCCACTGAACAGAAGAAACAGGTAAATGCCTATGACTTTATTTCTCTTCGACTGTTTCTCCAAACATGGACATTTTAGAGCGGTGGTTCTCAACCTTCTGGCCCTTTAAATACAGTTCCTCATGTTGTGACCCAACCATAAAATTATTTTCGTTGCTATTTCATAACTGTAATGTTGCTACTGTTATGAATCATAATGTAAATAAATATCTGATATGCAGGATGGTCTTAGGCGACCCCTGTGAAAGGGTTGTTCAACCGCCAAAGGGGTCGCGACCCACAGGTTGAGAACTGCTGTTTTAGAGGGTCCACAAGATCAAAACTGTTTAATAATAATATGAGATGTTATTTACCTGGTCATTGTGTTGACCTTGCACTGATCCTGCAAAATCGATGGTGGGTAGTAAAGCGGCCGGCACCTTAGAAGGAGTTAAGGCAGTGGCACCAGACTGTACTAGTAATTACTGTCTTCTTTGCTTGTGCTTGCAGGGAGAAAATAAACGCTAATTTCGATTAAAAATGTTCTTGATGAAGTAGTAAAAATGATAAATTGTATTAAATCCCAATCCTTCAGTGCACATCTTATTAATATTATAATGCAAAGTACACATAAGACATTTTACAATATACAGAAGTACGACATTTTTTAATTAACATGATGCATTTGTTTCTTACTGCTTTGCAGGTAGATATAAATATAAAATTATGGAAAAATGGATTCACGGTCAATGATGATTTCAGAAGTTACTCAGACGGTGCAAGTCAGCAGTTTCTGAACTCCATCAAAAAGGGGTAAGCAACCTTTGTAAATAGAAGGATAGTTTAGGCATGTTTCATTTGGAAGAATGGTTTTTAATGCCTGTTTACACATCCCTACACATTCACAGGTACCTTTAGAAATTCATATTTTCATAGGTTTTCTTAAGACAGCCACAGCTATAATTTTGAAGAAAGTGGAGGAGTTTGAATTTTGATCAGGTGGTCAGTGCACGTCATAGCGAGCAGTTGAGCGGCCTTAGCATATCATTTGCATATTATGCTTTGATTGGTTGAAAGGTCGACCAGATGACCAGACACTTAGCATATTAGGCCTTTATTACCGTACTAGAGGCCCGGTGCACAAAAATTTGTGCACTCGGGGGGGAGGGAGGGTCCCTTAACCCGGCCTGTGCCCTCTCGCAGTCTGGGACCCCTCAGGAGATAACGGCCTGCTGGCTTAGGCCTGCACCCGGGTGGCAGAGGGCAGGCCCAATCCCTAGATGCAGCCCCTGGTTGGGCTCAGAGGAGGGCCGATTGGGGAGATGGGGCGCCGCCCCCTGTCATGCACAGAGCAGGGCGGATCGGGAGGTTGCGATGCCCCCCTCAGTCACGCTCAGGGTAGGGCCGATCGGGGGGTTGGGGAACCA